AAAAAAACTCTTTTATTTTTAACAATTCAAAATACAATGCCTTATCTGGGCCTAATGGTACTTAGTTAAAATATCAGCACTGGGAAGCCAAGATATAGTGAGTTAGAGGCTAGCCTGGGTCACATAGTGAGACCCTGTCCAAAATTATCACTGTTATCCAGCAAAAAGTTAAAAACCCACCCCCAGGCCAAATCCTATATATCTGCCTATGTCCATGTACTGGATGCAGTATCGCAAACCAGCAACCATATGGAGGAACACACAGGCCAGGCACCTGGCTTTGCCCCCGCATCTTTGTCCTATATTTTTCACTTGATACTGTCATAGTAAATGTGCATTGTTGGTAAATGATGTCTGTCTGATAATTTAGAGGAAAATGACATGAGTGTTCTAACGAGCAAGTCTGGGGACTATTGGCCTTACCCACAGGCTCTCCTACAATGCCTCAGTTACTCCGTCAGCCTGACTGCGTGCAGAATCACCATGGAAACACACCTCTCTGTAAGGGAGTTTCTGGATATTTGAGTGGAAGGGGGAGACCCACCCTGAGGCGGCAGCACCCCCAACCCCCTGGGCGGGACCATCCCATGGGTGGAGTCTCCGTGGACGGAGATCTCCAGCTAAGCAGCAGCCTGACTGCAAACACGTGACCTCACACTCCAGCGACCATGCCTTTCCCACCAGGATGAACTGTGAGCCTTCAAACGGTGAGGCAAACGAAGCCCTTCCTTCCTTACACTGCCTTTGTCTGCTACTTTGTCACAGCAGGAGGGAATGTCACTAAAACCTGTAATTCTGGAAATAAGACTTTAGATTGCCAGTTTCACTCACTAATATTCCATCACTGCTTCTATACTTTTTCAAAACAGAGACCACTATAAATGTTCTTTTGTCAAACTGTCAATTATGTTGTGAAGCTTAAAATGTTCATATTGTAAAAAGCTTAAGAAACAATTCTTAGTTGTGATCCTTAATTACAGCTGAGCAACTTCTAATTGTCATCTAAGCTTCTTGGCCTAAGTAGAATTCCAAAACCAGCTGTCCACTGGAGGGAGAGAGTGTAAAAAAGCAATTGGGCTTTGCCTGGTTTAAAAGGTTGAAAGTTAGCAGTCAAAGGTTGGAATTGCTCAGTTGGATTTTACGACTACTTGCTTGCATAGGCCTTGATGCCGGGGCAGGGGCCACTGCTTCCCCACCCTCTGCACTGCAGAGTCAGGGCTAGTATTTGATAGACTTAAAAAAAGGGGGGGTCTTTCCATGTAGACCTGGCTGTCTTGGAACTCTCTATGTAGACTGGGTTGGCCCTGAACTCAGAGATCCACCTGCCTCTGCCTCCTAGTGCTGAGATTAAGGGCATGTGCCATTAGGAGAGCAGATATGCATTTTAAAACCAATGTCATCAATAACTAGGTAAAATATGTCCAGGGAACCAGGTCTGGAGAGGAAGTCAGGTCAGGGTGACCAAGGGCCACAACCCTCCCTGAACAGAATTTCCCCAGTGCCGGGGAACACAGTGGTCTCATCAATCGGCCCACACACTTCCTTGTCTTTCACTCATGTTCACTTACTAGGGTTCAAAAATCTTGGAGGAAAAAGAAATATCTGACCAAAGTTTAATTTTCTTCTGGAAAAATAACAACCACTACATATTTTACAATGGTCCTAATACTTTCACTGCTTTCATAAGTCAGAGGCCTCCAGTTCCTGGTCTCGTGAGCCAACTAGGATCCTTTCTCGATTTCTTAGCAGAACACACATGCTTACACACTGAAACAAAACAAACAGAAAACCACCAAAAAGCAAGCAAGCAAACAAATAAAAACCTAGAAGTTGAATGGAAGCAGCAGCTACTGAATAGTAAGGAAGATGGAAATATGGGCTCCCTTATCTCAGCAAACTGTCTCTTTTCATCAGGATTTTATTGTTCTCTGCTGAGCTCTTATTGATGGCTTGGCTCCTCCGACTCAAGTGTAAGTTCTGTGGCAGCTGAGACCTGCTCTGTCTCCCTCCTCCCAGCATGCCCATAACAATCCTTGGCAAGCACACACAGGCAGTGTTGAAGGTGTCTAATGCAGCAATTGCCATGACAGAGCGTGAATGGGCTGCCCTGTGAGTGCAGAGGAGCCTGCGTGGATATGAACCTGGGCATGAGCACACCTGTGGTGGTCTCTGTGGTGCTTCCATTTACTATTCAACAAGTATTTACTGAGAGTCTCCTGGCGTGGTACAGCAACGAACAAACTAGCCTAGATTCAATACCCATTGAGCTTGTAATCCAAGAGAATGACAAGCCTAAATAAATAGATAGATAAACAAATGAATAAAGCACAGTTCTATGTGGTATGATGAAGGAAAACTGCAAGGCAATGCAAGGACTTGTAAAAAGGGTTCCCTCCCATGACAGCTGTGTGACTACGTGAGTACGCTAAAAATCCACCCAACTAAGCAGTGGGAAATGTAAGTTTTAGAAATGGACACTTGGGCTCAGTAAGGCTGACATAAAAAGCACAGCACAGCGGGCACAAGCTCGGCTTCCTGGCCCTGCACTTCTGGGCTCACAATACCAACTCGATACTCCTCACCTGGGCTCTCTTGGACAGCATATCTAGCATTGTGTATCTTTGTCTCTTTCCAAATAAACTGAAGATAATGGCAATACCCTCCTTCTTGGATTATCTTGAGCATGAAACATGTTGGTATTTCCTAAGTTATGAAAATCTGGCACGAAGGGAGAAGGCTGCTTCGGGACAGTCAATATGCACATACTCTCCCAAAGCGTATGTGACTTATTCAGCCCTGCTGTGAGGCTAACGGAAGCAAGGCCTTTGTGCAGTGTGTAGATTATGAGGGTGGAACCCTGAGGAATGGAGTTAGTGACAAACTAGGAAATGGCCCACCACATACCCAATCTGACATCTTGACTGGGCTTTGAAGCAAAGTAACTGTAAGAAGCAAACTTCCTTCAGGTAATCTGTGATAATCTGTTGTGGAGGGATGAACTGACTAACACAAAGAGGGAACCAGAATCAAATGAAAAAAAAAAAAAAAAAAAAACACTCCCTGGAGGCAAAGTCAGAGACCTCATGAGTGCTTTATAAAATCAATACTCCAAACTGAAAAATCTAAAAGAAACAAATGTAGTTAAGTCAAGAAAAAGTACATAATTTAAATAGATGCATAACACCCAGTGAGAGAGAAGAAGCACTCGAGGCCAGATAAATTCAGTGCAGAATTCTACCAGGCTAACTCATAGAACTAATACCAAAACTCTGCAAACTATTTATCCAATAGAAAAGGAAGGAGCATCACCGGATTTCTTCTACCAAGCCAAACAAATAAGGAAATAAATAAATTAATTAATTAATTAATAAATAAATAAATAAATAAATAAATAAATAAATAAATAAATAAATAAATAGGAAAGGGAAGAAAATTTTAGGCCAAAAACTCTGATGAAATGCAAAAATTCTCAGTAAAATATTTATGAACTTAATTCACTAACTCATCAAAAAGATTCACATCATTCTTTACCATGATCAAGTTGGCTTTATCCAGAGATACAGGGATGGTTCAATATGCATAAATCAATGAACATAATCTACCACACAAATAGATGAAAGGACAGAAACGATCATCTTATTAGATACGGGCAGGTCTTGGAGAAAATCTACCATCCCTTTTTAGTAAAAGTCATGAGAGAAATGAGATAAAGTGAGGTATCTCAGTATAATAAAAATGCAATTTACAGCAAGCCCATAGCCAACACCCTGTTAAATGGAAAGAAACTCCAAGCATTTCCACTAAAATAGTGAACAAGACAAGATAGCTCCTCTCTTCATTCCTACTCAGCAGACAACTGAGGAAGATCAAGAGGGTACAACCAGAAGTCAAAGCATCTTTATCTGTAGATGATGGGCTTTATTTGCCAGCCCCTCAAGACTGCCCCAAGAAATTGCCCCAGCTGATAAATGTGCTCCGCAGAGAAGAGGGAATGTTCCTTCTGAACTCTGTTTGGAAAAAGAAAGTGTGCTTTGAGTGACTTTGCTTCTGAAGAAAGTTCCTTTGCTGTAGAAATTAACTGTGCTATAGACACATCCAAAACAGTGACATCAGATTGTAGAAACAGATTACAATATGCATCATATTATCTAATTTAAAACACAATGTAGATATGTGCTCTTTAAAAAAAAAAAAAAAGAAAAAGAAAAGTGAGCAGTTTTCTCACAGAGAATGAAGCAGCAAGCACAGGGCCTACATGGGTCTATACCAGGACCTTTGTACAGATACTACAGCTTTTGGCTTGATATTTTACAGGCTCCTGAGCATGGGGTGAGCGGCTCTTTGACTCTTGTGCTTGGTCTTGGGACTCTTTTCCTCTGTTTGGTTGCCTTGTCCAACTTTGATATGATGGTTTTTGCTTTTATCCTATTATAGTTTATTTTGTAATGTTTTTGTTTCTTTTTTAAAAAAGGATTGTAGGCAGGCTATAAGGCATTTTTTAAAATTAGTGATCAATGGTGGAGGGCTCAACCCATTTTGGATGGTGCCATCCCTGGGCCTGTCCTGGGTTCTCTAGGACAACAGGCTCAACAAGCCCTGGGGAGTAAGCTGGTAAGTAGAACTGCTCCATGCCTCTGCATCAGCTTCTGCCTCTAGGTTCCTGCCCTGTTTGAGTTCCTTTGGTGATGAACAGATATGGAAGTGTAAGCCAAATAAACCCTTTCCTCCTCCATCTCCCCCCAAAAAAATACTAGAAATGAAATGCCAGCTTTAAAAAAATTAGCAGTTTTTTTGAGATATAATTTCTATGTCAGCAGGCTCCCTTTTGAACGTTTACCCTCAGTGGTGTTTGGTGCATTCACAGTGTTGTACAGCTCTCACCATCATATAACTCTGAGATCTTTTCGTTATCCCCAAAGAAACCTGACAACATGGCTTCTCTCCTGGGGACCACGAGGCTCCTTGCAGTCACTCTGCTGCCTGTCTCCACGGGCTCCTACCTTTGCTCTTGTAAGGCCATGTGAAAATGAACCGTGATGTTTTTGAGGTTGCCAAAGTTTATCCTCAGATTCCGTGGAGAAAATAAAGGATTTCTGGTCAATTACAGTTGGAAGAAGCCTAAGTGAACAGAAAGAGGGATTAAAACCTACTGTGCCACTCCAAAAGCTGCTGAAATCATAACGTAAAACAATGCTTTCTGTCTTCTATAAGCTTGCTACTGGGGACTAGAGCAGACCAGAACAACCTTTAGCAGTGTGGAGCAGTCTTTAGCAGTACTGCCACTACAAACCTGCAGCTGTTTGATTAAGCACAAGAGCTTTCAAGTTTGATAAAGCACCTATAGTACGACTAAAAAGCACCAGCTCCGGCTCCACTGACGCACTAACAACTGGCACAGCTGTTACACGCTAAAGCATACGCTGGTAGAGAAAAGTGCGCAATGCTGTGTTTTGTTTAATAAAATCAAATGACTGGATAGCCAATGGTAAATATTTTCTTTAAATCTCTGCTATTTTAATAGTTGTAAAGAATAATAGCAGAGCTAATGAAAGGTTTTTCTTGCTAAGAAGTAGAGTGCTCCAGAGCAATGTAAAACCAAAGTAAAATTGTAAGAATGAGTATATATGTCTCATATCGTACTTAATATATTTTATGTAAATGCAGGCTCAGTTTCTATAAATGGCCAACATAAGCAAAATGAGTAAAATGCATCCACCAACATAACTTAATCTTGTGGTTTTACTATGATGCCCACTTTTGTACAAGTATCATTAAAGAACAACTTAGATTTCTGGATTTTCCCTCTAACACATTAAAGACATTGAAGGTGGTCCCCTCCATTTCTACTATAAGCAAAATAAAAACGTTGTTTCCTGTATCCACCAGTGGACTGCAATCACTCAGCAAAAGGCTGCCATGAAAAAGCAAGATGATAGGATTCAGATTCACGACTCAGAGGGCTCAGGAGTCTTAGAATAGATGCAGCAGCTACAGCCCTAGGGAAGGTGCTTAAACTCTGACAAATTGCCAGAGGCTCACTGCACAGAAACTCATAAATTAAAATCCCATGTTTTTCTTCAGGACCCACATCATAATCTCACTATGGGCACTAGGGAAAGCCCTCTCTCTGTCTTGCTTTCAGCTAGAGAAAGGAGACATACTCTCTCTCTCTCTGAAATACTCTATTTATTTGTATTGAGAGCCAGATCTCAAGAAAAAGTGTTTTACCAAAGGTTTACTCTGACCTGGAGAAGTGTAGATAGTGCTCCTAGGCCTGTCTAGCCTTCTCACGTCACCAAAGGTAAAAGCAAGCAGTGCTGAGGAAAACTTATGCAGGCCCTATCCCAGGGGCATCCCCCCCCCCCCAAAGAGCTGCCTGTAGGAATGTAAACAACTTCCCATGCATCTTACATGGACAGCCACAGAAGCCCTGTGCCATGGAGCACCGCAGGGATCAGGCTCTAAATGGGGCTTTTGAGGAAACCCAGAGACAACAATGGAGACAGAATATGCAGGAGGAAATTGAATATGCAGAGATCTGTAGTCACAGCAAATGGTAAACACTGCATAATTCCTAACTTCATGAACCTTCCAAAGTAAAGGACTAGGTCATCTGTTCCCATGACAGCACTCCACATCCAACAAAAATACTGAGATATGCTATCGGCAAGGAAAATAGTTTAGAGTGAAATATTAAAAGATAAAATTGCTTTCGTGGTGATGGATATTTTGGAATTATCCAGCCTGAGGTATAAAATAGCTATGAATAACATGTTAAGGACTTCCCAAGGATTTATTGTACATCCAGGTATTATAGATGGGGATTGCAAGGAAGAAATTAAAATCATGGCATATGGAGAGAGGAGAGAGAAAGAGGGAGAGGGGGGAGGGGGCAAGGGATAAAACTGCTCAGCTGTTCCTGTTTCCCTACATTAAGGGCAAAGCCCCTACAGTAGAAAGAACAGGGCTCTTTGGGAGTACTGGGAAAGGTGTGTTCTGGAAAACAGTGGTTAACTATCCAAGAACACAAATTAAAATTGCAAGTGAGTGGTGCTGAAATAGAAATTTGGTGTATACAGGAGCTGATGCGACTGACCAGCCTTTCCCAAAACTGCTGTAATCCAGAATGGCCACCTTAGAGGGCTTATCCACAGTTTACAGGAATTGGTAAATTATCTCAAATAAGATAAAGTGTGCAACAGGTTAAATGTGTGGAACCAGATATTGAAACCCTAATTGGCTGACTTACCCATAATTTATGAAGAAGAGAATCTTTTACAATAATGGGGTACTTGAATTAATATTTCTGCATTTCCAAAGACAGCTCATAATGACATTGGGGGGAAAGTGGTAAATGCTCCTTGGGAAGGTATTGATATAGGTCACCAAAAACAATTACAAGCTGCCTCCATTGTCCAAACATAGGAAATCACAGGGATTGAGTTTCCAAATTTTTAAGAAGGGGCACTTTTGAAATACCAACAGCCCTACTACTAAAAGGGGTGACTGACAAGCCTATATGGGTAGATCAATGGCCCTGAAATAAGAAAAAATTGAATGACTGACAAGCTTGTGTGGGTAGTTCAATGGCCCTGAACTAAAGAAAAGTTGCAGGCATTTGAACATCTGTTAGATGAGCAGCTGGAGGCTCAACATTTAGAATAGTCTACCAGCATATAGAATAGTCTACCAGCATATAGAATAGTCTAGTCTACCAGCCCATGCAATTCCCCTGTGTGTGTTATTAAAAAGAAAAAAGATAGAAAGAAATCAGGAAAATGGAGGATTTTAATAAATTTGAGAGTGGTAAATAGAGTGATTCAACCAATGTTTTTTTTGTTTTTTTTTTTTTTAAACCTGGAATTCCTTTACCTTCTTTTGTAAAAGCAACTTTTATTCACCTCATGTAAGTGTTGTCTCAGAGGCTCACTGCTTCCTTCTGCTAACCTAGGCCTAGTCCTGGAAGCTTCTAGTCTCTGTGCAATCTAATCCAGGACTAAAATGTTTTCAGCCTCTGAGACTTACTGCTGAATAAGCTCACCCTTTCTAGCTCTTTCTGAACTATGGCTGGCTGGTTCAACTTAGCTGTTCAGGCTCAAGTTCCTCTCCAAGCTGACTGATTCAAACTGGCTTCTCTCAGCTTCACATTGAACAGCTTTGCTTGCCCTCATACTAACTTTGGCAATATGTTCTAATCCTCTGGCTCCTTCTGTCTTCACCTGTGTCTAGCTTGTTCTCTCTCCAAAACCTGTTTCTGTACTACTGTCCCAGCAAAACTGCCTCTTCTCCCTCCCTCTGTCTCTGTGCTGTCCCCTTTTAAGTTACCTCTCCTTCCTTTCTGTTCTCATGAGAGTTGAGCATGTCCTATTCTGTCAAACCTTTATATGATTTGATAAAGTCAGTTTGTTTGCCTCTCAATTAGACATGACTTTCAAACATGACTACTTCCTTCTACCAGCTAACTTTACTTTCATTGTTTGGGTTAAAGGTGTGTACTAAGGGTGAGCCTGTATTCCAGGCAGACGGATTAAAGATGTGTGCTAAGGGCACCGTTGTATTCCAGCCAGAGTAGCCATGTTGCTGGATTAAAATCCCTCTGTATTCTTTGTTATTTAAGTCGTGACCTATAATAGTAATTGATTTAAAAGATTGCCTTTTCACAATCCCTTTGCATGAACACCATAAGGAAAGGTTTGCTTTCTCAGTACCTACTTGTAATAATAGTTGTCCACTAAAAAGATATCATTAGAAAGTACTTCCACAGGGAATGTTAAATAGTCTAAGTTTATGTTGATATTTTGTGCAACAGCCACTAGAAATAATTCATAGGCAAATTTCTCAATCTATTATTTATCATTACATAGATGATATTTTGTTGGCTGATGCTGATGCAGCTACTTTAGAGAAAATGCTTAAGGAAACAAAGAATTCTGCAATGCTGGGTTTACAGATTGCTCCTGAAAAAAAAAAAAAAAAAAACAACACAGAGAGGATACTCTATTAACTATAATAGAGGAGACTCTATTATAATTGGGTTATAAAATAAGTGAACAAAAATTTGACCAAAAAAGGTAAAGATCTGTAGAGATCAGTTGCAAACTCTTAATGATTTTCAGAAATTAATGGGAGAAACTAATTGGCTGTGGCCTACAATTGGATTAAACACTCAAAGTTAAGTAATCGATTCCAAACATTACATTCCAAACAGCCCAAGGTGTTTAACAGCTGCAACAGAGAATTAACTCTGGCAGAAAAAAGACTGAAAGATACATATATGGATCAAATTTATCCTAAACTTGATTGTATTTTGGTTATTTTGCCTTCAACCTATTCTCCTGCTGAGCTCATTATGCAAAGGGAAGATAGTATTGTGAAATGTATTTTTTTGCATATAAACAAAGTAAAATAAATTAAAGACATACACAGAAAAGGTTATTAATCATAAAAGGCAGAATAAGACTATGTCAATTGTCAGGAACAGACCTGGCTGAAATTGTTGTCTTACTAATCAAAAATATTTTAATAATGCTGAGATTATGTCACTATGGGTAACCAATGAAGATTGGCAAAGAGCTTGTAGTAACTATTTGGGAGAAATTAATGACAAATATCCTTAGAGCAAGCATTTGCAGTTTATAAAAAAGGATGAAGTAGAGTCTCCCATGTATTGTAAATGGAACCCAATTCCTAAAATACATACATTTTATACTGATGCAAATAAGTCAGGAAGGACAGGCTATGAGTGAGACAAAATAAGCAAATGATCTAAAGCCCATAAACCTCAGTTTAAAAAATAGAGCTATATACAGTCCTTATGGTATTATTAAAATTCCCCAATTTCTTAATATAATCACTGACTCTCAATATGTAGAAAAAGTTGTTTTGCATCTAAGAACTGCTGAATTTATTCCTGATAATTCAGAGTTTAACTTCATTATTTATGCAACTGCAACAGGCAATCAGAAATAGAAGCAATCCATTATATATTCACTCATATTCAGTCTCATACAGGTTTGCCTGGTTCATTGGCATGAGGAAATGAGAAAACTGACCAATTATCAGTAGGAAATATGTTCGAAGCCTCAAAATTCCATGAAACAAATGTAAACAGTAAAGGC